GGCAGCCCCCATCCACGCACCTCTCAGCTACACTAAACCGCCCCGACACGCTTTAACCACCGGCTTAATTCATATGAAGTAGCTGTAACTCTTGACATCACCTCCGGTAGCCCACCCGAGGACTCCAGCCCAGGACACCTTATTATGAGGCTCTTTTTCGAGCGCTGAATTCTGAGACTTAAGGGAAGGCTATTTGAGGCATCCTGGTAGGTTTCCGGGCTTCCAGCTCCCTCCCCCGCTTGGCTGGTGATTTTCTGCGGCTCCTCCTCCCCCTCTTGACCTCCTCCGAGGTACCTTCGCCTCCCCTCCCCCGCTCGTCCCTGTACACTTGCAGCGGGGCTGGAAATCAACCCTTCGGCGCTAAATTCAGAGCTGCCCTTTGGACAGGATTGCAGTGGGGGAAAGGGTGTCGCTTCTTTCAGACAGAATGGTCAACTACATTTGATCAATTTGATCACCTAGACCGAGTTCACGCGCTCCGGGTTTCCCGAGAGCTCCGGCGGACCCGTGGGTGTTTTCCTAGATTCAGTGCAGATGTAGATTTCAGCCGAACCGCCCTGGACTGGCGAGATAAAGCTTTCTCGCCTCTCCACACTCCAACTACCTCCGCGAGAATCCGATACATTTAATGACGGCTTTGCTAAGTGTAGGGTTCAGTGCGTCCTTGGGCCAGAACCCCTTAGCACACAGCACTCACTAGCTCCAACCTGAGCTCCACAGAGAAGACAGTTAAAAATCGCCTGGTGTCCTGGTCATTTAGGAGTCCAAAGAGGGGGAGGAAAGGAAGAAAAATACTGCACTTGACACTGCCAGCCGCTTTTGAGAAAATATAGTGAACACTTGCAGAAGCGCAGCTTTAGAGGGAGGGTGCAGATTTCTGTCCTCGCTTGGCCGAACTCCTCCCGGCAATCAGCTGTGGAACCTCGCATACTCAGGACTGACCTGAGGTTTGTGGCTTCCCCGCTGCCGGGAGCGTGGAATTCTAGCTCGGCTTAGAACAGAGCAACAGACCGCACATGAACGCTGCCTTCCGGGCTGTCGTCTGCCAATAAAGAACACCAGGAACACTGGTGACAGAAACAACTACCTGAACTCAGAAACAGGCTAGGAAGCTCTGCGTGCAGAAGAAAATTCTTCCTAATTCACCCCAGATTGTTTTAACTGGTTAATAAAGCAACCGACGGTCAACAAAACCACATTCACAGCAGGAGTCCTAGACAATAAAATGAGAATCACAACTAAAGGTTTGTTGTTGTTAGCAATTGCCTTTATTATCATTACTAGGATTATCAAAAAAAAAAAAAAGTAAAAGATGGGAATAAAAAGATAATCATTTCATACCCAATGGTACATGGAGAAAGATCTCTATCTCTGAAATTAGATCGCAGCTTCTCTTGATTCAACCTCAATAAGCCACCACCTGCATCAACTGGAAGAGAGGCAGATTGGCTCTAAACACCCCACACCCTGTACCTGGTGGAATATAAATTGTTAATCGTGACTCTTTTTAAACACATATAATTTTATCTGACCCTTGTACGTGACTAAGGATACCGATGGCTTATATGGCCTTATTCTACATGATTAGAGACTACACAGAAAAAGTAAAAACTTTTTTTAAAAAAGGGGAATAGGATACATACATACATATTTCACATCTAATTTCAGAGGTGAATAAATTATGTTCACGTTTCATTTTGACCTCCAAATTACACGTCTGTGGATATCAGACAATATAAATCCTTCAGTTTTATTTTTTCCACCTGAATACCTTACTCATTGAAACTGACACCCCAATTGTTATTCTACTCTTTCTAACCTGATTCTAATGTGGGCTAAACACAGAGCATCACCTCCCTGGGAATAAATTTCCAAACAAATTCATAGCTCAGGGAAAGCTGACCAAAGCCCCCCTTTCCTTCCCAGTCTTGGGAATGAAAAAGCTTGCTCACTGTACGTGATTTCTCTAAGAACCTACTTAAAATGCATTTATATTGCCAGAGGTGGTTGGGGAATAAATGAATTCTAAAAATGTAATTTTACTTTTCAATTGCAATTAAAATCTATTTAGATTTTTGAAAAGTAGATTGAGAACATGATACCTGTTCAAGAATCTGTATCTAGCATTAAGTTTGAAGTGGAATGTTTAAATTTTAATTAGAACAGAGAAGGAAAGCAACAGCACACAAAATCACAGGCGTGTAAGAGCCCACCAGGAGGCTTGGGTGTAAGAGCTACATTTTGAAAGGTGTGTAAAGTGCACGTGGGCAGATGCCACAGGCTCAAAAGGAACTTATTAAATCTCAGCATCTCTTTTATATTCAAAGACACTGTAAGGTATATTGGGGTAGCCTGGAAGTGGTAGGGACTATACTTAATATACTCATACTCTTCCTTTCCTCTCAACAGTAGAGGAGCTCAAACCAAGGATTTACACCACTGCTGTTTTGAAGGATGTATTTTTGACCTAACAGAATATACAAAGGTCAAAATGAGTACATTTTTGACAGGAGAGGGTCTAATCCCCCCTCTGAACACAAGAGGTCGCTCCTGTGATCAAGTATTCGAAAAATATTTCTAATTAGTTTTATGTATTTTACAAAACATTAAAAATTTTACACATATATCTGATACACTAAATCCACATATAACAATCAGGTGAGGAAATGGGAATGATCTGTGATCACATTAAAACTTCAAGGACAATGATGCCTGCTATCCTAACTTTGATTTCAAGGCAAAATGTATTATCAATAGACCCACAGAACTTCAGGGAACATCCACCACGGACCAACATAATTATTGGGTTCCCTCAAATTTCTCCCTTTGACCGTGGTATCTTCTCTAAGGATCTTTGCTTCTATTAGTTTAGGAACTTATTAAGAAATTACTTGTTTACAATAATGGTGGGGGCTGAAAAAAGGAAAATATTTTGTCTTCACCATAATGGTGAAATTGCCTATTACTAAAGGTTTCCCCCCAAGCCTCATGCCAGCTTTTCTATTTGGAATTTCTATCCTCTGCAATAATTCTTTGTAATAGCTTACTGGTTTAGGGAGTTAAAATACCAAACTGTGGTGGCGGGGACTGGTTTGAAGGAGTACGGACAGTGAGGGTGCTTTGTGATCTCGAATATAAGTCATCAGCCTTCTGACAGCCTCTGGTGTTTAATTCCATGTTAAGAAAGTGGCAGGATGGACTATGATTGGTTAAAATCCTGTTTATTTCCTGGTGTTATGGTGGTATCTCTTTTGTTTTACCAGGGACAACTTGGTTATCTATACGGGAAACATGCCCACACACTGGGGAAGACTTGCTTCTTGTTGCGATTATCAGCATTAGCTTTGCAAAAGCAACTTGACAAAAGGCTCCATGCATATAATACCAGAGACTAGAAACTTAGACCCACGCACAACACACACACACTCAACTGGTAAACTTATCAAACTATGTCTATACAACTTTCGATTTCACCACGCATTCCCAAATAATTTGTAATAACAATGGAAGGGAAGAGATCCAACTTGCAACCTCCCTTGAGAGAAAACAAAACAAAACAAAGCAAAATAATACGTGTTCTTGGTAAAGCCCCAGCTAGGTCAGGAGAGGAAACTCACGCATCTCAGCTTCTCTTTCCGCCCTGGAGAGGCATATCCGTTTAAACCGAGCCACCGAGGGCTCACAGCTCTTATCAAGGGTTAGATCTGGCGAAAGATACAAAGAAAGGAGTTTCCTAACGCACGGGGTTTTCTCGCTGCAAGAAGACACCGAAATTAAGCCTTCTATGGTTTACGTTTGTAGGCCTTTTTAGATAAAACTGGCAGTCTCATTAGATAAGGAATAGCTATTTAGAAGCTTTTGGGGAAAATGTAGGCGTTCTTCGTGGCCTTCCTGTGGCTTTGTCTTTGGGAGATTATAAGAGATGGTGGGAACATGTAAGAAATGATTGAGAAAGGTTACCGGCGAGCTGGAGCCAAAATTCTTCTCTCTCCAGGTAGTTTTCCAGGAGAAAATTAGATATCCACACCCGGTTAAATGAAATAGGTATTTCACCGTTTTTCTATAATATACCCCTTCCTACTCGCGCCTTTAGACTAACGCATTTTTAAAAAACCTCTAGAGAGACATGAGACTTGTCCTTGTAACTATCATACCACCAGCAGCTAATTGCAGAAATTTGCTTTAAAAACCAACGGGCAGGAGACCAGCAGAGAGAGAAACTGGACAGGATATAATTGCTTTACAAACTTTAGACTACTGGAAGACCTCTAGAGAGACATGAGACTTGTCCTTGTAACTATCATACCACCAGCAGCTAATTGCAGAAATTTGCTTTAAAAACCAACGGGCAGGGGACCAGCAGAGAGAGAAACTGGACAGGATATAATTGCTTTACAAACTTTAGACTACTGGAAGATCATTTCGCTCTTTGGCTTCGGGTTAGTGATCTTTAACTCTAGGGTTAAACTGAAGAGCAGACCTCGCGGGACGGAAGGAGAGAGAGGCAGTCCGCGGAGTCAACTTCGTTTTACCTGTGCGTTTCCAACCTGATTGTCCGCTACGAGCAAAAAAGCGCCCCATTCCTCCCAACCCACGTTTTTGGAGATCTGAGGTCGGGGTGACGGAATAATGGGGTAGCAGTCAGCGAACGCCTCCTCTGGGTCTCATCATCCCATTCACGGTTCCCCTTCCCCTAGCGCGCCCTGCACATCCAGTTCGGGAGGGAATTCACCCTCCCCAGCAGCCAAGCTGAGCCAGGCCCGGGGCTGTGCGCCAGAGTGTGGGACCAAACCGAGCTAAGCGACCTGTTCCAAGTTCCCCCTTTTCCTAGAGCCCGAGAGGGACCTAGTCAACAGGAAAACCTACCCACCAGCCGCTCGCCACCGGCGGCAGAAAAGTGAGCCCCGCGCGCAACGCGGCCAGCCGGACTGCGGGGACCCCAGGAGCGCAGGGCGGAAGAACAGCGCGACGGGAAGCGAGGGCGCAGGCGGCGCGGCCGGGAAGGAGCAGGGGAGGGGGCAGGAGGAGAGGGAGGCCAAAGCCAGAGCAGCCGGGCAGCCCGAGCGTCGGGGCAGAACAGCCTGAGCCCGGAGCAAGTCGCCTCGGGAGCCCTAATCCTCTCCCGCGGGCTCGCCGAGCGGTCAGTGGCGCGCGGTGGCTGCGAGGCTGAAATATGATAATCAGAACAGCTGCGCCGCGCGCCCCGCAGCCAATGGGCGCGGCGCTCGCCTGACGTCCCCGCGCGCTACGTCAGACCAATGGCGATGGAGCTGAGTTGGAGCAGAGAAGTTTGAGTAAGAGATAAGGAAGAGAGGTGCCCGAGCCGCGCCGAGTCCGCCGCCGCCGCAGCGCCTCCGCTCCGCCACCGCCTCCGGCTTACATTGGACTCCCCGATCCGCGAGGGCGCGGCGCAGCCGGGCAGCGGCTCTCTCAGCCGTGGCAACCCCAGGGGCCACTGTTTCCCACTTAGCCACAGCTCCAGCATCCTTTCTGTGGGCTGTTCACCAACTGTACAACCACCATTTCACTGTGGACATTACTCCCTCTTACAGATATGGGAGACATGGGAGATCCACCAAAAAGTAAGAGGCTATTTTACCTTGTGGGGCTCGGTGTGCTGTTCTTGTGCGGGGGTCTCTCTCAGGCATGGGTGCCAAGGGCTCTTCGCAGTTGGAGTCATTGCCTGGAGAGAGAGAAAAGGTGGCTTTTTCTGGTTGCCGCCACGCCTGCATGCTTGCTGTCGGTTCTGATCTTTGGGAAAGTGATCGTACCTTGGTTTGCATTCGCTCATGTGCCCCTCCAAAACCCTAGCTTTCTGGTGCTAAGCGATGATTTCCTCCTCGGGAATTGTGAGCTCTCCGAGGTTATTATGTTCCAAAGGTCTGCCTGCACATTCAGTACCCGGAGATGTGAATTAGCATTAGACTTGCAAAAGAGAACGAGTGACAACTGTATTGATGTCTGCTCTTGCTAACAATATCCAGTCCTATGTGCTATTTAAGAGCGTGCTTCATGGAAAATATAGACATCCCTGCGTTCACTTAACGCTTCTAGTCAAAACCTTTTCTTTGACTTGACTTATCCATAATCTTTCCCAATGATTATGGCAAAGGGGGGTGGGGGGAGAAATACAAAATGAGCGGGTTTGATTGCGTGCTAGGCGTACAAATGTAGACTATTCAAATCTGTATTTTACATATATTCCACCTCCTTTAAAAAATGAGTCAAGGTTTTGAAGGCATACTTCAATTACCATCCCAAAGTGCAGTACTCCTAAAAAAAGAGAGAGAGAGAGAGAGAGAGAAAAATACTCCACAAAACCTCCCAGAGTACGCCCTATAAGAGAACGACACTAAAAGTGTGTTTATCTCTGTAGGAAGTAAACGGTTAGTCAATCATGTATTTATTTTCATTTCAGAAAAACGTCTGATTTCCCTATGTGTTGGTTGCGGCAATCAAATTCACGATCAGTATATTCTGAGGGTTTCTCCGGATTTGGAATGGCATGCGGCATGTTTGAAATGTGCGGAGTGTAATCAGTATTTGGACGAGAGCTGTACGTGCTTTGTTAGGGATGGAAAAACCTACTGTAAAAGAGATTATATCAGGTATGCCATTTATACTTCTTCCTCAATTTTGTGAGCTTTCCCTGTCCCTCCCCACTGTTTATTTTTTATTTGGTGTGGGTTTGTCTTTTTGCGAAGTTTGCCTTAGTGGGGTCCAGCGTGCAAAAGTTACCCTGTGTGTGTTACAAAAATTAAACTGTCCTGTTCATTTTACTTCTTGGGGTGTTGGGGAGAGCCCTGCACAGTGGTTTTCATAAAACACGTATTGAGGCTTGTGTAATTACTTATAGAATTTGTGATGCTCAAATTATTTTCTCTCACCCTCCTCCCCCTTCCAAAACAAACAAAAAATTTAAGGATGGATAAGTTTGGGTTTCTAAACCTTAAAAGATGGTCAATTTTTATTATATACTGTAGTGTTTCATTTATTTGTTTATTTTAGTTCTGTATTTTATTAGTAACTTACAGATTCTTTAGAGGTATCAATACAATAGGCAAAAGAAAAGTTTGACTTAAGCATGTTTAGAGATGCACTTCGAAAGAGCAAGTAGAGGTATTGCCTCTTTACGTACAGGGTAAAATGTCCTTCCTGGAGGATTTCAGAACCAACTGAAATATTCCTTGCAAAAAGACCGGAAATTTAATCTTTTTAAATATTAACCCTTTGGTGACATCTGACTATCTTTTCTTTCTTATCTTATCTGAGCTGATGAATTAGACAGAGCAGATCAAATTGCCCATCATCTGTCTGTGAACAATTGGTATATTTAGATAATTGAACAGCTTCCTTTCTCACATTAAAATCTGGTAACTGATAAAATGAGCGAATTTGCCCATACACACAGGACTAAAAACATATAGGAACTTTTTGAGTCCGGTATTGTTTTTGTTTTTTCCAGTTTAATCTGCATAGGCTTTGCTAATCTCAAATTTTCTCTGACCTGTGTGTATATGTTAGAAACTTTGTTTTCTGCCTTGGGAAGCCAGTAGAATTTATAAAGAAAATTTTGTTAGTTTTAATAACAAACAGAAGAGATATCAGCTTTGCTAGTATGTTAACTAATAGCAAAATATTATTTAAAATAGATTTTTCAGTGGCTATGAAAGTAATAGCTTTTGTAAGTTATAGGGTTTCTGGAGCTTGAGAACTTTTATTAAAGTTAAAATTTTAAATGCAGTCACAATTTTCTCTTGCTCCCTTAGTATCCAGCATTTTTTCTTCCTTTTTTTAAATCATGAAGCACAGAGGATAATCTTGATAGAGAAAATTGAACAGTGTGGAAAGTTTTTTAATACTTTGGGGAGGAGTGGGAGGAAGTAGGGAAAGTGGGGTACAGGAAGGGGGAGGGATTTTCTAAATTGTTTGGTCACAGGCAAAGTCAAGTCCTCATCCTATGAAATGGAAGATCTCACACTGAGTAGGCGGAGGGAGGAAAACCTTTTGAATCTACCTTGTAACCTCTGACAAATGAGCCTTTTTCATTGTTTACTCGATTGGTGTGTGAACTCAAGGTTCTGGAGAGAGAGAGCCCACTTCTCACCTCCAGGGGTATATTTACCCCTATGGAGATAGTGTTTTGCTCAGTTGCACACAGACCTGCATGTGCCTAATTCTGGATACACGCACTTGTAGGAGGACCCAATCGCTTGTACCTTTTCTCCACTCTGTGTCAACTCTGTTGTGTGTGTGCACACACGCCCCTTGAAATCCTGTAGTTGTAAAAGGAGAACCGAGCAACCGTTTAGGTTTTCAAGTCTCCCTTTGGGGGAGTGGAATACCCTCCTCCCTTTGTGTGGATCTTTTACTCTCTCTTCCATTCTCTGTTTGTAGGAATGGTACACTTTCTGTCATTACTGATAGATGAAGAGGGGGACAGGGAAGTGCATCCTAGAGGGAACCTATTAGGACTGTCCCTTGGTAAGGAAAGGCCAGCAGTGAGGAAGACCTTAGAAGTGGGTCTTTTCATTTTTCAGGCTGGTCATGGCTCTCAAGCAAACTAAAGTAGAGGTAGATTTTTCAGCAACTTGAAAAATATTGTGGAAACAGAAGCAGATTTTTAAAATCATAATAAAAGGAAGAATGGAGAGGAAACTTTCTATTAACGTTGTTGCCTGGAAAATCTTTAGTTGAGAAAGGCTGGAAGGTACTTGTACAGAAGGGGATCTGGAAACCCTCAGAGGTTTCGTTTTGTTATTCTGCTTTTGCATTTGTGTGTGTTTGCAAACCGAGTGGGGCTGGCAATCAGTCCCATCCTCCAAACTCTATTTTTCCTTGGAAGGAGGACTTTTTATTACAGTTTCAGAGATATTTCTAGCAGCAGAAATTTGGGGGATAGGGAGGTGAAAATAAGGGGCTAGAGGCCACCGGAGGCCTCCTGGATAAGATCTGCAAGAGCAACCTTGGGGCTGGTTGCTAGAGCAGCGGCCCAGGTTTCAAATCCATCAATAAATTTTCCAAGGTATGGGCTGGGTGTTCTGAACTAAGAGGTACCGAGGAGACACAGAGGTTTATCGGAAAGGAAATAAATGAAAAGGAGAGGAGGAGGGAGAAAGAGAGAGAGGTTTCGTTTCTATCCTCCCGCTCCCAGCGTCTGTTTGGTATGTTGATTTCTAAGGGCGTCGCGGCTGGGGATCTTGAGCCCGGGCGGTGCCACCTGAAGTGACCCCTTCTCCTTGTGCTTCTCTCCCTGCCCCGGCCCGGGCCCCGCGCAGGTTGTACGGGATCAAATGCGCCAAGTGCAGCATCGGCTTCAGCAAGAACGACTTCGTGATGCGCGCCCGCTCCAAGGTGTACCACATCGAGTGTTTCCGCTGCGTGGCCTGCAGCCGCCAGCTCATCCCCGGGGACGAGTTCGCGCTGCGAGAGGACGGGCTTTTCTGCCGTGCGGACCACGACGTGGTGGAAAGGGCCAGCCTAGGGGCCGGCGACCCGCTCAGTCCTCTGCACCCGGCGCGGCCGCTGCAAATGGCAGGTACTCCACGGCCCGGCTCCGGGAGACAGGCGCCAGGCTAAGCCAGCGGCGCCCCTGCCAGCGTGCCTGCGGCCACAGCAACCATGGTAGTCTCAGGGTGGTCGTGGCGGCGGGCAGCAGTTAAAAGAAGTGTTCTCTGTGCAGTTTGCACTGTGCTCTGCTCTTTTGCAGCCAGGTTCAATGCACTCACTGTCTCCCTTGACTCCCCGAGCACACCTACACATCTGTGTGTCTACATATGGGTACACATGGATGTACACCATTTGTGCACACATGTATACACACGCCCAAACGGCATTTCCAATTCACCTTGGCCTCCAAATCGTGGCTTCCTGAAAACGGACTTCAGCTCCCTACCAGGTATTCTTTTTGTGGCTGCCTAATTAAAGGGGTGGAGCTCTAGGTCCCTGGAGCTTCCCTTTAACCCAGTGAAGGAAGCTTAGGTGGCCTTAATGTCATTTACCCTTCCAAATCCTTTTTCCTTGCGAATTGCTCCACACTCGGAAACATTTTTAAAATTTATTTTTATCCTTTTGTGAGAAAAGGGCCTGAAAAGATATAGTCTTAATAACTGCAGGCCATTGCACAGAGCTGTAATTTAAAACTGTCAACAAGCTAATCAGTGGTAATTGCCTTTTAAAGGGAGCCTGCCTCTTTAAACCATTCATCTACATGATCTGGTGAGAATTTCATCTTCAAGCCTGTCGCTGTAGCTCTAAACTGACCCTATAGGTGTTAGCCTGACCCTAGGGGGTCGTTGGAAGGTGCAGGAATTTGTACCATACAGATCAGAGGGCCCATTCCCCACGAAAGGATTGGAAACAGTAACATTGGCCAGGAGGGAGGCTGCTGGTAAGAAGGCAGAGTGTTTCCAAACCTGCCTTCCGGTCGTGAATAGATCTCCCTTCTCTCCCCCTTGTGCAGTTTTGAAGTATCAATTCGCACTAAACACTGGAGGTGAGGAAACTACAGCTCTCCCGCCTCTGCTTTCTGGCAGCTCTAAGAATTCCGTCCTGGGGGATGTGTGACTAGCTTGCATGAGGGCAAAAGCAGGGGTGGCAACTCCTATTCACTGCAGCTGTGCCCTGCTCGTGGGGAAACACAGAGGAGGCCGAAATATTGGGAGGGAGGTGGGGAACGTTTCCCAGTCGTTTATCTAGGCGTAGGCAGCTCAACAGTTTCAGTTTTCCTTTGCTTGGATCAGCCCGTCTTAGGAACCTCCATGTAGATTTAATACTAACAAAGACCAGGAACTGGAGAGAGGTTAGAAATACTGGATTTCTTTAGCTCCTTGACATGACTGTCCTCTCAGACTGAAGTTCAAGTCTTTCTGGCAGAGTTCTTGTCGGCTTTCCCATGCAGAGGTCCTGGCCGATGTAGTGTTTCTGGCTGTCACTGGGGGTGTTCTCCGTTTCCTTCCATGGTACCCCCTGTGGCCTCAGCCCAAGAGTAACCTCCCAGCCAGGAGGTGGGAGTGAGTACTCCATGTAACCCTGGGCCCAGTCTGGGTACCAGGAAAGGCGAGAAGGGAGGGAAAACAATGCCGAGAAATGCCGCCCCTGCCGCGAGCAAGGGGAAAGACCCTGAGACGAGCTCCCCTTGGCTAACGTGCTGTTGACACGAACAGGATCAGGGGCGGGGGCTGCGTTCCGGGCCGGGATTACTCAGCATTGACCTCTCGAATTAGACAGCGAGATTTTATTCTCCCTTTCGCCCTCTTTACGCCCACCTCTGCCGCCCCCTGGTTTTTGTGTCCAGGCTGCAAAACATTAGGCCATTGTCTGAGAGCCGCAGGGCAGGGGCGCACGGGCCGGCGGAGGGCGCCCGGGACCCCCGCGCTCACGGCAGCCCTTGCCCCGCAGCCGAACCCATCTCCGCCCGGCAACCGGCCCTGCGGCCCCACGTCCACAAGCAGCCGGAGAAGACCACCCGCGTGCGGACTGTGCTGAATGAGAAGCAGCTGCACACCTTGCGGACCTGCTACGCCGCCAACCCCCGGCCCGATGCGCTCATGAAGGAGCAACTGGTAGAGATGACGGGCCTCAGCCCCCGCGTGATCCGGGTCTGGTTTCAAAACAAGAGGTGCAAGGACAAGAAGCGCAGCATCATGATGAAGCAACTCCAGCAGCAACAGCCCAATGACAAAACTGTGAGTGGCCCCGGGGCCGGGCAGGTGACACGAGGGGGAAGGAGACGTGGCGTGCGAGGTGCGTTCCTGGTGCCCAGCCTGGCGAGCACGCGGTTCTAGGTCCTCCTCGCCGGCAGGAGCCTGGACGGGCGGCCCCCCATCCCCACCCCCACCCATGCCCTGGTGGGAGGCAGCCTGGCGCCGGGCAGGCGGTTAGGGAGGTCCCCGGAGCTGTGGGAGCGGCCGTCCCTCCCCCGGCCGAGCGGCGTGGGTGGGCTTGTGCCCTTCCACCTCACTCGCACCCCACATCCCGGAAACGGAAGGACGCGACCACCCCCTCCGAAGATGGGTGGCCACGAGGCCTGGCCCGGGTTTACCAACATGCAGGTCATCAGTTTCTCATGTACCAAAGAGGAGGGAAGTATTGCACCTTGGGTTCCTGTCTATATCCAGGGCATCGGTGGGCAGGGCACCCAGCGAGCCCCCCCATCCAGCATACCCCACCTTTGGGGTAAGGCCTGCCGCTGTACCTTCAGTCCAGCGAGGTCCCCTAAGGTGGCCCGCACAGACAAGGCACCCTCTGCCGCAGGTCAACCCAGGCCTCTGCAGAGGGGTCAGACCCGGTACTGTTATCCACTATTATCACAGGCCCATGGCAGCATTCTCCCTGCAATCCTCCTGGCAAAGTTAAACTAAGGTTTCTTTCTTTTTTTTTTTTTCTCTTTTGAGAAAAAAATTTTACTGCTTTGGCCCTATTTTTAAATGCCATAAAACCCACTGTCATTAAACTTGGCAGGCCAGCTAAGACTGGGCCAGGGCACTTTCTAAGTTGGTTAGTGCTTTATAGCACAATAGCAGCCAGACCTAAACACTTGGTGAAGGGGGTGGGAGCTGGCTCTGCGAGGTGAACTGCTTAGAGAAAATGTGCAGCTAACTGAATCTACCTAGAAAGCCACCATGTCTAGAGGCTGAAGGGAGGCCCCGCCTGCCTCAGCTTTCTATTCCTGGGAGGCTATGGTCTAAGAAGGTGGATGGGAGGAATTGTGATGAGTTATGAAGACAAGGGAGAAGAAGAAAGTCGTAGTAGAACCTGGTTTTATAAGGTCCAACCAGAGCTAATAGTCCAGCCCACAGAAGCAGAAAAACAAAACACCATAAAACAAAACTGAACTTCAGCTAATATCCATAGGAGCAGCAGATTAACTGAGTCAATAAAGGCCACTATATAGATAAGATAATACCAGGGTATATTTGCTTAGCCTGTGCAGACAATGGAGGGAGGGAGTTTGCTCATTAATATGTTGGGATTGGGGGGGACCTATTCACAGAATATCCAGGGGATGACAGGAACTCCCATGGTGGCTGCCAGTCCAGAGAGACATGACGGTGGCTTACAGGCTAACCCCGTGGAGGTGCAAAGTTACCAGCCACCTTGGAAAGTACTGAGTGACTTCGCCTTGCAGAGTGACATAGATCAGCCTGCTTTTCAGCAACTGGTAAGTGTCAGCTCCCATATGGAGGAGGCTGAATTCCCAACAGAAAGGAGATTATGGTTTAACTGTCACATACTAAAGATGGGGGGGTGGGGGAGTGCCTCCTTTTCCCCAGTGTTGGGGAAAGACCTAGAAGGTGTGGTGCTGAAGAGAAGGGAGGCAAATGCAAGGAAAACAAACCTCCTGTGAGTCTTTCTTATGAGACTGCATAATTTGACGATATAGATTGAATTTTCTATCAATCAGGCCTGCTTTGAGGGATTAACTTCAAGGTGCTTCACTAGATAGCATGCGTGGGAAGGTGTACAGGGTTGCAAAATTATGCGTCTTAGACTTTTAGACTTGACAAGGACTTTAGAGTTCACCTTGGCATTTTGATCAACTATTACTAGGTTTACTCCATCCTCAGCATCTAGAGAATGGGATATTTAAGGACCCAAATTAAGGTGGTTGTAATACATAATCGATGTTATAATACATAATAAGTGTTGTTATCAATAAGCAGCAGGTACCATTCTGGGTACAATTTTTTAAAGTATCAATAAAGAGATTCACTATTCAAATAGATGATTGATGTAATTTTTTTTTTTTTTTTTAATATATCCCTTTCTGGGACTGTCTTAATCTAAAAATGTAGGACTTCTTAAACATTTTAAATGTGTGAGTTCAAATGTCATATAGTCCATACTGTGTGTCATGTATAGTAAAAGGACCATGAGCTCTACCAATCAGAGACATAGTGTTTATTTAATCTGTGAAAACCTGTTTTAGTGTTTAACATGTTTTACACATCCAGAGAAGAGAAAATTAATTCACCTCTTGCCTACAAAAGGCTTAAGGGGTCAAGATAAATAAAATATTAAATACATGTCCTTTATACTATGGTATATATACACATGACTTTATTTATTTATTTATTTTCTTAAAGAGTTATCAGCACTTTTGAATCCTGTTTTAGAAAACATGAAGATCTATCCTAAAAGCTTGTTCCTTCCTTTGGAGATAAAGCTGTAGTTGAGGTTAGCTTTTTACCCTCACATTTACCCAGCGGGCATTTGCTTTCTCAGTGTCAACAGTTAGGTAATTGGCCAAAGGCAAGTGGTTGAAAGGGCTTGGCCCCAGGCTTGTGTCTGTAGGTGGGCCAACCTAAAGGCCTCACAGTGGGAATGTTTTACTAGGGTTGAAAGGAAGGTTGACTCTGGAACTAGAAAAAAGAACTTATTTTAAAGTCATTCATCTGATGAGTTATTTGAGCAAAATCTAAATCATAGAAGGAAGGTAAAGGGAGGGTTCAGGACAGCCAAGTATTTGCACCTTCTGAAAATCTAGTGTCAGATGAGAGCAGTGGAGGGGAAGCTGAGGCGAGGTAGGGGGTGCGGCTGGAGAAGGAACTTTACAACAGCAACACAGTGCTTTTTGGGTTAAAAAGAAGGAGCCAGATATAATTATAATGCGGTGATGTTATAATATATAGGTCTTTTCTCAGAGGGAAGAGCCTGATTTAGAGAGAGAAAGGGAGAGAGAGAGAAAGGCCAAGAGGCAGCAGGACCAACAACAAGGAAGAAAGCCCACGCTGTGAGCCCTCTGAGGAGTTAATCATTGTTCTGTGCTGCCTCCACTGAATCTCCCGTCACACGATATGAGCATGTGTTATGGATTTTTCAACTCAAGAAGAGAGGCTTTGATGCCTAGAGACTTAGAACTCGCCTGCTCCCAGGGCAACATGTAGCCAGCAGGATAATTTTATTTTGAGCATGCATGGTAGAGTTGTGATGCCGTTTTACAGTGGGAAACACATTTGTTCTTAAATAATTTAATGCAACATAATGTTGAGAATTCAGTTTGAGTTAAAACAGATCTTTTAGAAGATGGGAAAGCGAGAGGATTTCTTCTCAAGTCATTTTCCTTATAGGCTTTCTTTAAGCCTGTTAAAATCCAGTTAAATATGTGGACATCTTTATCTAGCTATCTGTCTACACAAACACTTGTACATTCATGCACATTATGATGAGTTTATAATTTTTTTATGAATACTATTACAGCCTCCTTTATTCATTTTTCAACCTTTTATGCAGGTCAATTTTTCAGAAGGAGGACCAGGCTCTAATTCCACTGGCAGCGAAGTTGCGTCGATGTCCTCTCAACTCCCAGATACACCAAACAGCATGGTAGCCAGTCCTATTGAGGCATGAAGAACAGTCATACAGATGTATTTCTTTTTTCCCTGTTGGAGAAAGTGGGAAACTATAATGTTGAACTCCGAAACAAAAGTATTTAACGACCCAGTCAATGAAAACTAAATCAAGAAATGAATGCTCCATGAAATGCACGAAGTCTGTTTTAATGACAAGGTGAAATGGTAGCAACACTGTGAAGACAATCATGGGATTTTACTAGAATTAAACAACAAACAAAACCCAAAACCCAACATATGCTATTCAATGACCTTAGGAGTACTGAAGAAAAAAAAAAAAAAAAAAAAGACGTTTTTAAAACGTGGAGGATTTCTATTCAAGGATCTCAAAAAAAGCATTTTTGTTTCACTGCACATCTAGTAAAAAGCAGAAATAGAAATTTTTCTAGTCCATCCTAATCTGAATGGTGCTGTTTCTATATTGGTCATTGCCTTGCCAAACAGGAGCTCCAGCAAAAGAGCAGGAAGAGAGACTGGCCTCCTTGGCTGAAAGAGTCCTTTCAGGAAGGTGGAGCTGCGTTGGTTTGCGATGTTTTTAGTTGACTTTAACAAGGGGTTAATTGAAACCTGGGTCTCTTAGCATGTCCTGTAGCTGTTTTTTTTTTTTCCTTTTGCTCCCCCCCTTTTTTTTGAGATCCATCCTCTATCAAGAAGTCTGAAGCGACTTTAAAGGTTTTTGAATTCAGATTTAAAAACCAACTTATAAAGCATTGCAACAAGGTTACCTCTATTTTGCCACAAGCGTCTCGGGATTGTGTTTGACTTGTGTCTGTCCAAGAACTTTTCCCCCAAAGATGTGTATAGTTATTGGATAAAATGACTGTTTTCTCTCTCTCTCTGGAAATAAAAAGGAAAAAAAAGGAAACTTTTTTTTTGTTTGCTCTTGCATTGCAAAAATTATAAAGTAATTTATTATTTATTGTCGGAAGACTTGCCACTTTTCATGTCATTTGACATTTTTTGTTTGCTGAAGTAAAAAAAAAAAAAAAGATAAAGGTTGTACCGTGGTCTTTGAATTACATGTCTAATTCTATGTGTTTTGTCTTTTTTCTTAAATATTATGTGAAATCAAAGCGCCATATGTAGAATTATATCTTCAGGACTATTTCACTAATAAACGTTTGGCATAGATAAATAAATAAATACGATGATCCAGGGTTCCTCTTTTATATGTTTACAAGCAAGCTATTAAAATGTCTGAAATTAAGGATTGCATGTGAATTGGGGTATACTGACATACAGTATATGTTGTATTGCAAGTAGTTAATTTAAGGTTGAGTTTGCAAGTTTGGATTTCAGTAGTTGGATCAAAGTTGACTTGGAAGTTCTTAGCTCTCAGCTGTGATGTTACTGGTTCTGTGATGTTCTCTGTCCCGTCCCCTACCTTTCCTTCCTCGTGTCTTTTCTTGCCTACCCCACCCATCCACCAACCCCAGGTAGAAAGAGGGTCGTACTTGAAATGGCTTTTGATTCGGAGTCACTGTTTTATTTTCTTAGAGTAACTGCTTTTATACCAAAGTTCCCTGTTTAGAATTGTTGAAATGACCCGCATTTCAAATATAAGCTCTTGCTAAAAGAGGCTTTCTGCCTAGCGAGGTATGACCATTATTTACCAATGCCGCAGATTGAGAAATGCTGCTTTATTTGCGGAGAAGGAACAGGGCGGGAGAGGAGTTTTCTCAGCAATTCCCACACCAGTCAGTGTATGCATTTTCTTGCTTCCCCCCCACCCCCACCCCGCAGTCTTCCCGTCACCCCTTCTCCCCAAACTCCAATTTCAAAAACCTTGGGAAGGGTGACTGGCTGGTGGGGAAAGCGCGGCATGCATTGGGTTGGATAACCGCCTTTTGTGCGGTGGGGACCGGGTCGTGTGCTTTTGCAGGCCCACATCGGCAATCGAAGTTACGTGGACGTGCTCTCTGGGACATTTCCCCCCTGGCATGTAGCAGTAGTTCATGTGCTACAGCCAGAACCCAGGGATAGATAAGTGGCAGTGCCCGAAATCGGGCTTCTCGGTGCTTCTTCGTTTGCAAGCGTAGTTAGGATTTGGGGGCTCCACCCTGTTTCCTCTTCTCCCCCCTCCCCTACCCCAGGATGATACTTTGACTCTTTGGAAACTGGATTCACGTGTATGCGCGAGTGTAATGCCCTTTTCAATATCTGACAACTCTTCAATAAATGCGAAAGCTAACGTACCCTAATCGTGTGTGGTGTGGCGCCTGACCGCTTCGGGGGCCTGGCCGAGCCCAGGGAGGAGGCCATGCTGGAGACGGGCGAGCCCCGCGGCCCCCGGCCCTCAAGCCGCTCCCACCCTCTCCAGACCTGCCGCAAGTCGGGAAGCGAGCCCCAATTAGGCTTTTGTTTGGCATCGTTCTGCATAACGGGTTAATTACAGGCTCTAACGTGGAGGCAGAGAGAAAACAAACTTTGCATTGAAAATGTTACAGTGCATTAGACATGCCCGTTGATTACTTTGATTGTTGTGTCTCATTCTTGACAGAGGGGTAATAATTTGGCCGGCGGTAATAATGGCTTGTAGTCGTCAGTGGAGAAAAACAAGAGTTATGTCTTATCTCACACGGATCTTCTCCAGGAAAGGCTCCCCCCCGCCCCCCGCCCCCGTGTCCCTCCTCTAATCTCTTGCCACCGGACTTGACTCTCTCAGCTTCCCATCCACCGATTCTGTTGATCTGCCTTTTCAGTTTTCCTTTTCCCTCATGATCATAGCTTGAATAGCTAACTAATCAGCATGTGCAAGGATAGAAGGTCCAACGTGAATATTGGTGTCATGCCGGCAAAGTTACTGATCGCCCAAGCCCTGTGTGAAACCATTGAATTTCCTTCCCCAGTCATAGCCTCTGGTGTCTCTTGAGAATGATAGACCCTAGAGATGGAAAAAACTTGCAATAGAAGTATTTAAGTGAAACACACATCTTTGTGATGCTTTTCCCTCCTGGCATTGATTTTTAAGATTAAGGGTTGGGGGTTGGTGAGGCGGCGAGGGCGGGGGGAGGGAATGATAGATGTCAGTCTATTCTTAAGTAGGAAGATTGAATTTAAGAACAGTCGTTGGGGAGGGGGGGAGTGATGAATGATTTGGTTTCACTTGCTAGATTCAAGATATTTGTTGCCTGTTGGCTGAGAATGAATTAATGGGTCGATAACATTCTAGTTCTTATATTATTCGTATGAAAGTTGTGTCTTCCCCTTTAGACTCCTCAGCATGTGCTCTATCTAAAATGTGTAGCTGAAATGTCTTCTTGTTTGTAAATCATCTCTTGCACGTACTCTCCTTTTCTCGACACACTTCTGGAGACTGAGTTTTGAGCTGTTCTCTTTTAATGAAATTCCTCCTGTTTGTATTATCTTTGATCCTCTCTCCCTGATTACTCTGGATTCTCCCTTCTAGACATTATGACTCATTTCCTGCAGCTTCTGCAAGCTAAAATTTAATGCAGCTAAAAACACCTAAGGTGCTCCTTTTAATTTAAGGAATCCATATCAATATCTATAGTCTTAAAGACAGGATTTTTCCCTTATAGTTTTAGAGTAATAACATCTATTTCAGTCTATTGTCCCTCTTTTCCCCTTTTATCAGGTGGATGGACCTGGTTTTTCTTATTATTAAAAAAAGGTCATTCCTAAGTTAGAATTGTATTTGAAGACTTTTTGTTTTCCTCCATTGAAATACCTTGCCCATTGACAACTTTTTTGGAGTTCAAGATTAAATAGATGACTTTGTGATTCTCTGCTGCTGTTCACTCTGGTCAATTTGTTAAATTCATCATGTTGACCTCTTTTCTGGTCTATCTTATCCTTTTGACTACCAGCCGAAAAGACAATGTGCTTTCAAGTTACCTTAGAAGTACTTTGTATTTCCCTAGTACCTTGAATTCTTAAGCCACAAGATTGATCTCATTGAAATATAACTGTTGTAAATCCCATGTGGATTTACTTAGCCTTTTTCTTTATCTTATAAAAGAAGTTAAAAAAAAAAGTTAAAAATCTCAGTCCAAAACACTGGAACAGCGAAATTTGGGTGGCACCCAGCCACTTTGGATATTTAATCTCATCCCTAGTACAAGTAAACTAAGCAGAAAGTACTTATTTTCTTATTTGTAAAGTTTAGTTCAGTCAACTTTTGTAAAGGAGATTTATAATCCAAATTATGCTTGAGTTCTATTCATTAAGGACTATTTACTTCCTCTATGCTAATCAACAATTAAAGATTACATCACAAGGCAAGTCAAGTTTTCTTTGGGAGCAGTGGAAGAGGGAAGGGATTAATTTTGTGCCTTTATTTAAACAGTGTTACTTTGGAAAATGGCTCCAAAATCTTAATTCTTCTTTACTGTTTAAAATAAAAACAAGTAACTTGTACAATGTGAGTCGGTGTTTTTAAACTAAAATCCAAGTAGTTAATTCAGGGCTCTGGCAGCCGATTCTGTTTACTGATCTTTTGTGATTGTTGTTTTCTTGATAAGGGAGCAAGCCACTGAATGGCTGTTTGAGTCCAGGCGCCACAAACATAAACTTCACAGCTTACAATGTCCCAAGCCGTGATGGAGGATCTCTCCACACCTCCCGGAGACTTCTGAAGTGTAGACAGAGAAGTTGGTTCACAGGGAGTGAAGGAGGGGGAGGGGCGGTAGGGAAGGCTGCTGAATGTTTGCTGTGACCACTGTTACTGTAATATCCTTTAATTTTTATGAGAAGCCACTTTCTGTGCCTTGAGGAAGCCAATCTCTTCCTGGAACTGCACTTAAGACTCCTTGATTCTTTCTATTTTTTTAAAAAAATAATTTTGCAAATCTTTCTGCTTAATGATACCTCTGCAAACTCGCTCAGAATTGACATGCGAAGGGTTCTGAAAAGGGGACGCCTAGATTTGGGAGAAGGATGCGGGGTAAGGTTGCTTTGCTCCGGGTGGGTGGGGAGGAAAAGCACACTGACCCGCCCTTTCCTAGGGCCCTATGGAAGATTGTGCGTAGCTCTACAGCTGCTTATTCCTCGCTTGGGATCCTTTCATTCCATGCATCAGTAGTTCCTGTTCATTCTGGAGTGATATTATTTGTGGATTGGACTGAGCGGCTACTTATTTTTGCGGGCCATCCTGGTGGTTCTCTCCTCGGTTACGTTCCCCACGTCCAGCGCCAGTCTGCACTAGGGTTAGGACGGGGGTGGTGCTGGGAATGGGGGACCCCGGACACTAGTCTAACCAGCCCCGCCACTCCCGCGGGCAAGTCAGTCCTTGATCCCTTAAAGAAGGGACAGTCGTCGTGGTCCGCGAGAGGGGAAAGGGTGTTCTTGGGCCCTTCTCTTTCAGGAGTTGATCAGGTTGGCAGATCTGGAGGGCTAATCCAAACAAGGCGCTTGACTTGTGAGGTCGCGAGTCTAGACAGAGCTGGTGGCTCGGCGGCTCCTTATCTTTCCCTGGGATCAGCCGAAGAGGCGCTCCCCGGCCCACTGCGCTCGGCTCGCCCGGGCCCGGAGCCACCGCACGGCGCAGACTGAACAACAAACAGCACCTGAGGCTTTACAGCTCGCTTTATTGTTTAATGGAGAACGCTGCAAAACATGCATTTGTCTTCTCGGCCCTGCGACCGGCCGCTGTGCAGCCACAGGCGCTGGGTTGGGGGGGTGCGCCCAGGGGTGCGCCCATGCCCCGCCGTCCCGGTCCCCACGCCGGGCAGCGCCGGGCGGTCCGCTCCGCCACCGCGCGTGTGAGCGTTCACGGTCCCCTCTGTCCCTGCCCCCTCACGTCCTGGAAAGGGCCTTCTGGAAATCCAGCCACTGCCCTTTTCTGGTTTCCGAACCCGAAGGCGGAGAGGTGAGGGACAGTGGGAGAAAGCATAGGCGAGGTGTCTTGGACCAATCCAGTATTTCCTCTTGCTGCCTGGAAAGGACAGTTTTGCGCTAAAGCCATTTATGGTTTGCGGGGTCAGTGGGCTCTGACTCAGGGCGATCAATAAAAACATTTAGTTCAGGAATACGCTGCGTTTCTTTTCGAATGTACTGAGAAGGATGCGTCACCATCTTGGACAGGATGTCCCTGCGCGGCCGAATGCCCTTTTTCCCTGCAAGCACAAACAAGTGACGGTGACTTTCCAGTTTTTCGTGCCCACTTCACTGGGGAGACCATG